AGGCTGTATTAGCCCATAACTGAACCCTCCATTCCCTATCGATCACCTCTTCTTTCTTAGTTCTGTACTGCTTGTTCTTTTTGAATGCTTACGTGTGCTTGTAAGTATGGAAATCCTTCAATAAAACCTATTTAATTGACCCTTCAAATCTGGAGTCTTCCTACTGCGCCGCACCTTCGCGTAAACTGGCACACGGTCCCTTGTACCCCTCTAGCCTCCCCTGCCACATAGCTAATTTCCCTCGACAACAAGGCAGGCCACTGGCGGTAACAATTTGGCTGTGTTTATCTACCTATCCATCCATTTTCTTTCATCCAGACCTTCCTCTAAGGGCAGGCTACATAGTTCTCCCCTCCTTCGCATTACGGAGAGACAGTTTTGTCCCTTGAAGCCGGGGTGTCTGAAGGACCGTCTTCTCCCACAGGTTCCTGCCTGAAAATTAAGATTACAGGGACAGGCCCTCCTAACTGCCCCACCAATCGGAGAAGTTCATATGGCCGGTACAGGAGAGACGGCCTTTTTGGTAGCAACCCCGTGGTTACAGAACAAACTCCCACGGGAGGCAAGCCTAGCACCCCTCACATTCGCTCTTTAGGTTTTATTTAGGACTGCATCAGACAAAGCTTTGTTTTTATTTATTGGCAGTCCTAAGTGGAGTATTTAAATTGTGGTCTTTTAATTATTATTTTTTTTGGTAATCTTTTTTTCCATATTGTAAGATGCCTTGAGTTCTGCACAGTGGGAAGGCAGATATTAAATGTTTTAAATAAATAAAATAAGTAAAAGCTACCCAAGTGAGATAAGAATCAATGCAGTTTAATACTTGAAAGGCCCGAATTCTAATCCTGTCTTAGCCACCAAACTCACCTAGGGTGATCCTGGGTCAATCACACTCATTCTCTCCGTAGAAACTACCTCACAGGGTTGCAGGCAATGCTCCCTCTAAGCTGTGGAGTCTTCTGAGCAAAAATTCTACTTTGTGAGCTACTGGCATTACAGTTATGAGCGAGCGATTTGGCTTCTGCATAAATTAGTTTGCTCTGGAGCCATCCTTCCTGAGCTAAGACAAAAATGTGTGAGCTGGAGGCTAAAAAACTGTGAGCTGGCTCACACTAACTTAGCTTAGAGGGAACACTAGTTGCAGAGAGGATAAAACAGGAGAAGGGAGAAAAAAAGAACATCACCTTCAGCTCCTTAGAGAAAGGGCAGGCTAAAAAACGTGACAGACATGCCAGCCTGTCACCTGCTCAAACAAACCCTGCACTGTACGTATTAAAAGAGATGAATGGTCTGCAAAGAACATTTTCTGTCCCATTTGATTTGCCAAACGAAAAATGTTACAATGCAACTGGAAAACCTACTATAAAGAAGAATAAACCACCCACCCACCCACCCTGCCAGACATGAAAACGCTGAAATTTACCCATGCTATTAAGCAAATAATCCCTGGAAGGAGTTGTTGGACTAGATAATGCAATGCCGCACAGCGGAAAAAGTCTTCCCCCCTCTTCATTTCTATTGGGTGTAATTAACAATAAATCACAGTGAGGGTTACGGCACCCTGTTATTACATAAATAAAACACTAGCAAAGAAGCTTGTCAGGACAGATTTATGTGAAGTGCTGCTCTGAAGTTTATTGCATTTCCATAATAAGAAATCATATAGCCTATCAATTTTTTGCCATTAATCTTTTGGGCTCCATATTATCACTTCTAAACACACACACACACACACACTTCTTAACATAGCAAGAAGGCCTGATCCCCTTCCTCAAAGCAGTAAAGGAAAGAAAAGGATAAACCCATCCCGGGCAGGGGGGGACTCGGTAGAAGGCAGAAGATTCCAGGGTCAGTCCCCGGCATCTCCAGTTAAAGGATCAGCAGCCTGGTCTACCCATGATGCAGAATGAGGTGGTACATTCCTCAGATGCTAGAATGCACTGTATGAGTCAAGGGGAGGGGTGCCATTTTTAAACACTACCTACATTTTAAAAAGACTCGCTGCAGTCAAAAGAATCCGGCAATGCAAATGGAGAAAAAGGACTCCAGCCCAGCCACAATCCATTGGTAGGACTTTTCTTTTTAAAAGGAAGCATTTAAAAGTGACTCCCCACCTGCACCCTGCAGTGGTACAGTCCACTCTACCATCTCATTCCCCTGCATGCAGAGACCGAGCATCAGTTAACAGGTGTTGGGAGAGAACCTTCTCTGCCTGAGAGCTCGGAGAGAGAGCAGCTGCCAATTTGAGTAGACGGTACAGATACGGACAGGCCAAGGATCAGCAGACAGACTGTTTCCTTGTAAGGCAACCCTGTAGGTTTAAAACGCATGATCAGTGCCAGCCCTGCCCTATAACCCTCTGATTCAGGGCCAACCGTGGTACTCACGGGAGACCCATGCCCTGGCATGCATCCCTGACAGTGGGGCACGGAGACTGGCGAATGATCTGGAGACCAGAAGGCTACTCGGTCCTTTGAACAAGGCAGAAGGAGCTCCACACAGTCTCCCTCTTGCTTTAGTACCAGCCTTTCATACAGCTACTTCACAAGGGAAGAGAAAAAGAGTGCACACGTTCGCCTGGATGGAGACTGCAAAACAGGTTCAAGACTCAGCCACCAAGCACAGAAAGTAGAGGTGCTGCAGCTGTGAGCCAAAGCTGGGCTTGGCGCTGCAAGTCGGGAAAATTCAGGGATGTGCTGCAAAAATGCCACCACCTCTGGCAAAACCTGCCACTACCCTGCTTCTCTCACACCCATGATGAAACAAGAGTGGTTTTCCTGTGGTTCATGAAGATGAGAATAATAGGCATATCATGAACATAATCTAAAGCTAGTAGAGGTGAAGAGATGGAGCTATGAACCAGGAATCTCACCTCTTCTACCATGAGCTCACTAGGTGACCTTAGTGAAACCACGTGCAACCTCAGCCCCCAGCCTGCAATTTGGAGAAAATGACGCTCGACCTACCTGGTAGGGCTGTTGGAGGGATTACAGAGATGACGTACAGGAAAGCTCTGAAGACTCTCAAGTGCTACATAAAAGCTAAGCATAGCATCCAGCTGGCTAGATTAACTGGGGGAAGGGAGTGCCTTCCTCCCTCTAGCTTCCCTGGAACTCTCCGGCACTTGCGGAGGCCCAATCCATACTAGGTAATGTGCGTCACACGACCAAAGTGTGAAAAACGCCAAGGACGTCTTTGCCAGTCTTGCAGGCACAAGATTCCTGTGACAGAAGCATCAGGTTTCCAGACCACAAAGGGATTACGAAGCAATTAAAGAGGCGAGTGATGCAAGAGGAGGAGGAGGAGGAGGAACTGATGCATGAATGACCTCCATCCCTGTTGCGCTCTGGGTGAGGCCAGGGAGAATTCCCAAAGCTCTCAGGTGATTAGCGGCCTCAGCAGAGGCATCCAAGCAAGTGGGAAGCCACTGAGGGGCAACTCGCAAGCGCTCCAGAGAGCCAGCTGGCAGCCCACCTCCAGGGAGCGGGAGGGAGCGCCGCAGTGACACGGAGGGAGATGTGCCACACTGGGTGCCAGCTCTCTGGGTTTCTCGAGCAGCTGAAGCACACAGGCTGTGCCAGTGCGAGGGACGTCAAGCTGAGACCTCCGCCTGGGGATTCTGGCTGCACCTCTATTAAGGCTCTCTTTCCATCTGTCCCTTACTTACCCTCCCCTTCCTTCAAGGGTCTCCACACAGCAGAGGGGGGGTGTCTCTCCTTGTTTATTATTTATTATTTGTATTTATATCCCGCCCATCCTGAGGATGGGCTCAAGGGTGGGTAACGTCATTATAATAAGCAGAACGGCAGTTTAAAACACAATATGAACATTAAAAACAACGGGTACAACTTAAAACAGAAGTCAGCTGGCTATAAAGATTCTGGCCTGATGGGACAGGTGAAATAAAGGCCAGCTGTCAGTAGGGAGGCCATAGATGGGCGCCCGCTGCCTCGACCACAGGCCTGGCGGAAGAGCTCCGTCTTGCAGGCCCCGGGGAGTTGAAGAAGTTCCCGCAGGGCCCTGGTCTCAATAGGGAGCGTGTGCCACCAGGCTGGGGCCAGGACAGAGAAAGCCCTGGACCTGGTCGAGGCAAGGCGGACGCCCCTCGGGCCAGGGACCACCAGGAGGTGTTGATCTTTGGAGCATAATGCTCCTTCCCTACTTTATCCGCGCAACCACCCTCGGAGTCCAGTTAGGGGACAAGAAAGTGACTGGCCCACCCGGTGAGCTTCCTGGCTGGGCGGGGATTGAGTCCCAGGTCCCATCCTAGTCTGATGCTGGAACTACGACACCACACGGGCTCTCCGGCAAGTGGAAAGACCTTTCACAGCCTGAGGCCTTGGAGAGCTGCCGCCAGCCAAGCAGATGGCAGCAGGCTAGACGGACCAACACTCTGAGCGTGACAGAAATAAAGCGGGACATAAATAAATAATACACAAACAAGCGCATTTGCATTGCACTTATTTATTTATTTATATCCCACCCTTTCTCCCCAGTTTGGACCTGGAACATTGTTCTCTCTTCCGTTTTCCTGACAACAACCAACCTGTGAGGTAGGCCGGGCTGAGAGTTCGTGACAGGCCCAAGGTCACCCGGCAAGCCTTTCACGGCAGAAGTGGGGATTCGAAACCCGGGTTGACCGGGATGCTAGTCAGCTACTCTGTCTGCTACACCACTTGCTCTATCCACTCTCATGCTCACATGCGCTGCTTTGCATGCACCGAGTCCTGGGTTCATCCCCCCGCACTCCAGGTCTGGGGATCTCAGTCCACTGTGCCTCTGCCTAAGCCTTGGAAGCGTGGATGGGCCAACATCCTGACTCTGTATAAGGCAGCCTCACGTGGCCAAAACTGGGAAGAAAAATAACTTGGAAGACGTTCCCGTTTTTTGCTTGTCCGTCTTTTGCTGGTGTGCACCCCCCCCCGGCACCCCCCTGATTTCCTGGGGCACCACGGCATGCCGGCAAACTGCCCCCCACACACACACACCCAGAGACTTACTGTGTTGAGCGCGTTGAGTGTAGTGTCATCGCGGGAGGCTGCGACACAGCCATCTTCCGTGGATCCTCCATCGCACATCCCTGCAAAAGCTGCCATGCTCCTTCAAAAAGGAAAGGGGAAATTAGGGCTCTAAATTTTTATCACATTCTCTCTCTCTCTCTCTCTCTCTCTCTCTCTCTCACACACACACACACACACAGTCCCAAGCCTACACCAGCCGAGCCTAACAAGAAATGAAATCAGGAAATGGCGCTTGATTTTGGTCAGAACATACATGGTGGTGGAAAGCAATGCTCCCTCTAAGCTGCAGAGTCTTGTGAGCAAAAATTCTACTTTGTGAGCTACTGGCATTGAAGTTGTGAGCCAGCAATTTGTCTACTGCATAAATTAGTTTGCTCTGGAGCCATCCTTCCTGAGCTAAGACAAAAATGTGTGAGCCGAAGGCTAAAAAACTGTGAGCTAGCTCACACTAACTCAGCTTAGAGGGAACACTAGTGGAAAGGGCCATTGAATCACAATCGACTCACCGAGATCCCATCCAAAGGGCGTTCCCGGCAAGAGATGAGCAGAGGTGGCTGGCCATTGCCTGCCTCTGCACAGTGACCCTGGACTTCCTTAGTGGCCTCCCATCCAAGTACCATCCAGGGCCGAACCTGCTTAGCTTCCGAGATCTGGGGAGATCGGGCTGGCCGGGGCTATTCAGGTCCAGCCAGAACACACATAGATAAAGTAAATCCGTGCAACCTTTTATCGCGTACAGGAGCGGTGAAACTATTTCTGTCTACAGAATTTGGGACTGACAAAGCAACTCCTCACAGTGGGCACCAGGAAAACGCTTTCGCTTGACATTACCGTGCTGCCCGCAGGTACATGAGCAGATCGCAGTCATTGACCCCGGGCATCCAGACCAGCTCCTCATGCTGCGTCACAGTGTCGCCCTCTCCTGAAGGGAAGGGCTGCAGTTCTGGAAGCTTTGCCTGGAAAAGATTCAGAGAGGCAGAAAGGAGAGGATCTGTGTTAAGAAATGAGCCGTTGACTCTGGACTCCCTGAGCTCTCTCTTGCATGGTAGAAGTAACAGAAGTGGGCTGGGTAAATCAAAGCCACTTCCCTACTCGCCTGTGGCGAGGAAAAAACTGCCTCCAAGCAACCCAGTGGAGGTGTTTTTGTAAGCTGGACTACCAAGTTTTCCCCACTCTTCCTTTATCTTTCTGGATACTGGTGTGCCACAAATGACTTGCACTTGCAGGAGGTGCGGCCAGCTGGTTTAGTGAACAAGTTCGTGGGCAAGTAACTTTTAAGCCTTCACTTGCAAACTTGGGAAAAGGCTCATTACCCAAAAACACTCGTTTTAGAGATGATGAAAACCAAGTCAGTAACTTTGTCAAGTTCTTGTAGGGTCTCAGCGGCAAAACAGAGACTTGAGGGCACGAAGCTCTGGGGAAAAAGGCCTTTCCTTCAGCCACATCGATCACCCTTGCAAGTTCTCGAGTTGTACAGTCTGAGAAACCAGAACGATGGAGAACTAAGCCAAGGCGGGCAGCCAAGTGTGAGAATGCACCGTGCTGTGAACTCCACCACTGAAGGAGCCTTGCATTAAAGCAGCGAGCTTCAATTAGCAGCACCCTTAGTCATAGGCAGCAACGGGTGCGAGACACTCAAGAGCTTTTCGAGCCTGTAATTACTCTGCATCGTTACTATGCTAAGCACAGTTGAAAGGCCATAAAAAATATACAAGACCAGTAATTACAAATCCCAGACTCTTGAAGGCTTTTCCTGCACACTCTGTTTTTATTTGCTTCTCCTTTCTTTTCTAGGGTGCATCTCGACTTTTGACACTGGTGACGGTCAAACCAGCTACTGAGGCAGCTGGCACCACGGAGGGGCTGCAGGCAGAGGAGTGGGCAGCACAGACAAGGACTCAGACTGCCCCCCCCCCAAGAAAAAAAACCTGTCAAGCACTTCTTTCTCTCGCTTTTAGATTTTTAGATTATGCCCAAAAGGTCAAGCGTGAATGTCCAGGAAAACGCCCCAACTCCAAACTATTAACTGTTCTTGCATTTCTAACCTTCAGATGCAGGAGAAAGGAATAATCCACCAGTCTAGTAAAACTGCCATGGAAAATGAACTCCAAGGAGTTGACATCACAAAACTTTCTGGACAAGCTTCAATCTCAAGCCATAGTTGTTGTTGTTTTTTAATGAATGGCTCATCTGCAAGGGCTGTCGGAAGTTTCTGAGAGAGGTAACCTGCTCAGTTATGCTCCCAGAGGGTAGCCATGTTGGTCTGCTGTAGAACAGATAGATAAGAATCCAGCAGCACCTTAGAGACCGACAAAATGTTCAGGGTATGAGCTTTTGAGAGTTAAGGCTTCATACCTGATAAAGGAAGCTTTGACTCTTGAAAGCTCACACCACAGAAACTTCATTGATATCTAAGTGCTAGTGGACTTAAAGCTAGCTATACTCACTCACACAGCACTTTCCAGTGGTCAAAGCGCTTCGTGGCCCTTACTTCAGTAAAACAACCCTGCAAGGTAGGCCAGAATTATCACACATTACAGACAGCGGGGGGCCCTGAAGCTTAGAGTGTGGCTTGCCTGACACCACCTAGTAGTAGTTCTCAGCAGAAATAAGCTTTGAACAATGACTGGTGGATCCACAGCGCCGTCAATTAGCCACTGTCCTATGCAAACTCTTCTTCAGAGGAATGCAGGCTCACGCCCAGGGTGATCAGCATGCTGCACAACAGGAGAGGGCCAGAGATCAATGGCAGAGCAGACGGTCTGCAGGGAGGCCAGTCCCCGGTTCAGTACCAGATGTGGCCAGTTAAAAGGATCCTGGCCAGCAGGGCTGACAACTAATATCTATCTACCTACCTACTATATTTGATTTATCGGCAGCATTTCCCTGCGACCAGGGCTCAGGGCAGCTTGCATCACAGATAAGTACAATATAATTGAATTAAAACAGCACTAAAATACTTAAAAACAGGCAGAAAAACAGCACTAAATCCAAGATGACGGTAATTTCCAGCAGCCCCCTGGGTGGGGGGGGATATGAAGGAATAAAAAGGAAGGTGGGAGTATGAGAGTGCTAGACCGTCGCTGTCCTCAGCCAAGTGCCTGCCGGAATGTCTCTACCTTACAAGCCCTATGGCAAGATAGCAAGTCCCTATAGGGCACGGATATTCTCCAGCAGAGAGTTCCACCCGGTTGAGCACAGCCCTAGCTGGGCACAGCCGGATGATCTCTCTCGGTCCAGGGTCCAGGGACCGCCAGGAGGTTCTTATTACTAGAGCATAATGCTCTACCAGGGACACAAGGAGAGAGGCGGTCCTGAAGGTATGTGGGTCCCTGACCGCTGGTGGCCTTAAAGGTCAAAACCAAGACCTTGAACTGGATCCAGTGCTCCACTGGAAGTTCTTGGAAAGTCACTGCTCAATGGAAATGGACAGCTAGATGGACTTATCACCTGACTCCACGTAAGGCTCCAATTTTCATATGAAGGGTTGGACACACACATACACACATACCCAAACCCCTAGTTCAGCTCTCCACTAGAACTCACTGTCTCCTTATTGCACTGGAGAGTTGGCTAGGAATTCATGGGATGCTGGGGAAGCAGAGTCCAGCAGATGGCGCTGCTGCGGCCCAGCAACCCCAGCAGTCGTGGGGGCAGAACAATGGTCCCGAGTGGGATTACTCTGTTTACCCAGGCCTTTTCCTGATTTTCTCATTTTGTGGCAAGCTGGCTTTTATAATTTCTGAGGAGTATGTGTGCCTCTGTGAACAATAACGCAGGAAGCCCTTCTGCAAGTCAGCATACAGACTACATGAACACCACAAATATTATTCAAGCACCACCAATTAAAACCATAAATATTTTAGCAGATTTCAATATGGCAATTTGCATTGATGAATATACAAAACCAAGGGGAGTAAATGAGTACTGTCAGCTACCACAGTTTTCCACAATGGATGCTATGATAGCTGGAAGCTGAAACAGGGGCTGTGTGCTGGATCGCAGGCCGGATAGGGCAGCCTTAAACCCACACATTAAATTTATGGGTGTCACCTGGAAAACATGCAATGCTCTTCCATCAGATATTATTCAAGCGTGTGAACTGGGGATCCCCAACATGGTGCCCCCCCCCTCGTACTTCCCCTGGTGGGGGGATTTGTAAGGCAGGACTTGTGATCACCCGCCCCCCTTCGAATGACAGGGGTTTCCATGGGTGCAATAGCAGCAGCAGCGGTTGGAGGATCAGGCAACCAATAGGCATCCAGGTTTGCAGCTCTCTTTCCCCTTCAGGCTCCCCTCCTTTTTATTTCCCCCTTCTTTTTCACCCTTCCTTCCACCAGGTTCCCTTCATTTCTTTTTATTCCCCTCCTGCGATTCTTCTGCAAAGTGAGGAGGGGAGGTATTATGTTTGGCTTCACCTCCCGCAGCAGCCATTTTGGGGTGGTGCTCATCACACACACCCCTTTGGAATTCCAAAGGTGCCCATAGCCTCAAAAAGGTCGGGGGCCTCTGGTGTAGATACAGCCCCCCCCCCCCCACACACACACATATACCCCTCTGCTTATCCCGTCCTCCCAATATCCATTGGTTGTTACCGCAGAAAGAAAGATACCATCGCTTGACAACTATGCTAAACAAAAAGGACTACTTGGGGATATGAGAAGAGATCGAAAGAACCATTCGCGGAGCAACCTGTGCTGTTTGAAGTTCTGCTCTCTTTTTTGGACACGGCTTTCTTCCCTTCATCAAAACACAGACCGACTCAAGAGCGTACGCTGTTGACAACGGAATGTGTCTTGCCAGGAAGCCTATATTTATTTATAAAATCGGGCTTCTAGACCGCTCTCCCCTGCAAAACAGGGATCAGGGCGGTGTACGACAATAAAAGCACAGTCATAAACATTAATCACCAATGAAAACAATAAAATACAGCACGTAACATTTACTAGATGGCGCTAAAACTCCAAATTGCACCACTGCCCCCCTGGGGAGGGGGGGCCAGAAACAGAGTGCCAGGCAAGGTGGAGTGCCCTCAACCAAAGTGCCAGGCAAAGTGCCAGGCAAGGTGGCTGCCCTCAACCAAAAGCCTGGCAGAACATCTCTGCCTCACAGGCCCTGCAGAACGGCATTAAGTCCCGCAGGGCACGGATATTATTTGGCAGGGAGTTCCACCAGATTAGTCGAGGACATCCAGATACCTTGCGGGCCAGGGATCACCAACAGGTTCTTCTCTGCAGAGTGCAGTGCTCTTCAGGGGGTATAGAGTTGGGATAGAGAATCACAGAGTTGGAAGGGACCGTAGAGGCCATCTAGTCCAACCCACTGCTCAATGCAGGATCAGCTTGCAGTATCCCTGACAAGGCTTTGTCCAGATGCTGCTTCAAGACTGCCAGGGAGGAGGAGCTCACTTCTTCCCTAGGCAGCTGACTCCACTGTTGCACAACTCTGAGGGTAAAAAAGTTTTTCCTCATATCCAGCCAGTACCTTCCTGCCCTTAATTTAAACCCATGATTGTGAGTCCTCTCCTCTGCTGCCGACAGGAACAGCTCCCTGCCCTCCTCTAAGGGACAGCCCTTCGGATACTTCAAGAGAGCCATCCTTCCCCCCCTCAGCCTCCTCTTCTTCAGACTGAAGCTTCCCAAGTCCCTCAGCCTTTCCTCACAGGGCTTCTTGGTCTCCAGGCCCCCCGATCATCCTCGTCGCTCTCCTCTGCCCCCGCTCCGTTCTCTCCGCATCCTTTTTGAACTGAGGCCTCCAGAACTGCACACAAGACTCCAGGTGCGGCCTGACCAATGCAGTGTACAGTGGGACTATCGTACCTTGCGACTTTCACACATGCTGAATTAATGCACTTTCAGACCACTATCAATGCACATTATTAATCGTTTGAAAGAAGAAGAAGAGACTGGATGTATACCCTGCCCTTCACTACCCAAAGAGAGCGGCTTACAGACTCCTTTCCCTTCCCCTCCCCACAACAGACACCCTGGGAGGTGGGGTGGGGGGACTGAGGAGAGAACTCTGACAGAAACTGCTCTTTCAGGAACAGCTGTGCCAGAGCTTGTGACTGACCCAAGGTCACATCAGCAGGTGCAAATGGAGGAGGGGGGGAATCAAACCCGGTTCCCCCAGATTAAAGTCCGCACACTTAACCACTACACCAAACTGGCTCTCCAGCGGACTTTGCTATTCCACACAGTAAAATCCAGTTGCAAAGTGCACTGAAAGTGCACTATTCAGTATGTGTGAAAGCACCCTAAGTGCCGCAAGGTTTTATTTACTTATTTGAATCCTATTGGTCTGACTTCCCATACCCACAACAGAAGGGCTATCACTCTTGACACATGCACACCACATACAGCATACAGGTGGTGTGCGAGGCCGAGAACCAGCACAACCTGGTCAAAATGTATCACCCAAAGACCCCTTCAGGGAGGGCGGGATATAAATCCAAATACATAAATAAATAAAATTTCGAAAATATGTGTAAGCCCTTAAAGATTCAAACCTACATCCTTTTTCTACACGTAGGTTCTATGCACAGAAGATAAATTAAAACTGCCAGAACAGGTCGCTGGCAATACACAGACCTGCCTGAGACCTTGGAGGGGAGGCAGTCTGAAGTACACAAGACTAAGGAGAGGATGGCCTGAGAGCATAAGGCAGCTTTCTGGGCGATGACCTAAATGAGCCAAGGGGCCCACCCGCACGGCCAGCCATGAGCATCACTGCCCACCTGTGCTGACCAACCATCATCCTTCTCTCTCTCTCTCCCTTCTGCTTTCTCTTCCAGTCGTGATGTCCCGGAGGGGGCCTTTGTTCACAGCAGTCACAGCGGGTTTTGGCTTAGCTGATCTAATGCCAGACTCCAGGCTGCTTACGGAAGGCACTGGGAAGCTTCCAGTGTGAAAGTCCAGGAGCTCCTTCTGTGGAATTAAGTTGCCCTGCCTACTGCAAGACAGAGAGCTTCTGAATGACACCTTGTGTTTTTGTGGGTCAGAGCGATTGCTGGAACTGGGGCTGCCAATCTCCAGGTGGGGCAAACGTAGAAAAACACCGTGTTAGGGCAAAACACACAATACTCCTATGCGACTATATCTTCATATATTGAACTGGAGAAGCCTTCTATGGAATTGTTGACTTGAGCATTGTAGCACTGTGAGCTTTGGTTCCAGGAAAAATAATTTTGCCTGAAGGAGAATCTCTCGAAACGCGCAATTTTTGCCCGGGAGTTGCGTAGCTCTGATGCTTTACTGTATCTCTTTTTTTGGAAAGCGTAACGGCCTGCTGCATCTCTCATCAGTCTCTCATCAGAAAGCAAGATAGTCTACTACAGCATTAGATCCTGTCTCTGTAGCTGTGGACTTTTCTACTAGATACATAATGTTCTTTAGGTTTTTGTGCTATAACGAATAAGATATTCATTGTATTCTCTACGGTATTCAAGTATTATATCAATATATGAAGATATAGTAGCATAATAGTATTGTGTGTTTTAACACGGTGTTTTTCTACATTTGCTCAACCTTGCCGTGTTTCCTGTGTGCTTGTTAATTCCCAAGTGGGGCCTGACGATCTCCTGCTATTAGAAGAAGAAGAGAAGAAGAGGAAGAGATTGGATTTATACCCCGCCCTTCACTTGGAGTCTCAGAGCGGCTTGCAAACTCCTTTCCCTTCCCCTCCCCACAACAGGGACCTGTGAGGTGGGTGGGGCTGAGAGAACTCTGACACAAACTGCTCTTTTTCAAGGACAGCTGTGCCAGAGCTTGTGACTGACCCAAGGTCACATCAGCAGGTGCAAGTGGAGGAGTGGGGAATCAAACCCGGTTCTCCCAGATTAGAGTCCGCGCACTTAACCACTGCACCAAACTGGGTCTCTCTCTTAAATATTACAACTGATCTCCAGACTACAGAGATCACTCCCCCCCCCCCGGAGAAAAGGGCTGCTTTAGAGGGTGGGGGCTGTATGGCATCATACCCAGGGCTGAGGTCCTTCTCCTCCCCAAAGTCTGCCTTCCCCTGGCTTCACCCCCAAATCTCCAGGAATCTCCCAGAGTTGGCAACCCTACCCAGAACCTTTAGCTAGAATGGGGCAGGGCGATGTTTGATGGTTATCACGGTAGGATTTGTCTTACCTGATGACTGGGCCCGACCCGGATTTCACCCTGTGTGCTGTTCAGCCTCCTGCAAATCGAAAGACACAGAACCACCAGTGAGATATATTCTGACGCTCTGGGACACGTTTAATTTCCAAGCTGCTCTGAAGGCGAAGCAAAGTGGGGGGTGATACATCTCTTAAATAATTTGTTATCACCAGCTGCATGCAAAAAGTCCCGGTCCGAAACGCGAAGACGTTAATCAGGCAATGTGGCGCGGCTGCTACTTGCTGCTCGGCCAAACGTGAAACGCCTTTTAAAAGAAGCAACATCAAGACGGTAGAATTCTAATAAACTGCCCGCAGCAACAGGCTCTGGGCTTTTCACAGCCATCTACGAGTGCTGCTTGAAAGAACCCACAAATACCAATTGGAGTTCTATTTATTTGTTTTGCAAGTGGAATGCAAACACAGTTGAAAGCACAAATAAATCGCAGTTTAGGAGCAGATCAGAGCCCACACACACACACACACACACACACACACACACACACGCCTTTTATGCTCCAGCAATGGGCTCCTCTTGAGCTGTGTGCGAAGGGTGCCACCTACTGAAAGGCCAGTGTTGCTTCCAGCTGCAGCTGCTGGCCAGCCTGTGCCATGCCTACCCCTTTCCTCTGCACGGGGCTCCACATTACTGGCATTCATGGGCACACTCAAAGGCTTCCGGGGCCAGGCTGGTTCGACTCCTCACCTTTGACAGCTGAGCCCAGGAGAGCGGGGGCTTCCCTCTCGGCCTGGTGTGAATGGTGGGAGTCTGGGATTCTGCGCGTGGGGAATTTTAAGATAAATTTCTAGGCTGGAAGCTGAACTGCTTTACTGAACAAGTGGCCGCCAAAAGCAAAGGTTTGATCACTTTGGGAGAAGTAGGAGGAGCTCTCTGAGACAAGACAGTTTTCTCCAGATGTTTTCAAAGCAGTGGGCTACAAAATCTGGTAGTTCCCCCCCCAAAAAAACTTTAAATGAAGTGAAGTTTACCCTTAAGCTGCTTACTCGATTTCTGTACCGTCCTTTCTCCGAGAATCTTGGGACAGGAGGCGGAGGAGGAGATTGGATTTATACCCCACCCTTTACGCAGAGTCTCAGAGCAGCTTACAAACCCCTTTCCCTTCCCCTCCCCACAACAGGCACCCTGTGAGGTAGGTGGGGCTGAGAGAGCTCTGACAGAAATGGCTCTTTTTCAAGAACAGCTCTGACAGAACTATGGCTTACTCAAGGTCATCCAGCAGGTGCAAGTGGAGGAGTGGGGAATCAAACCCGGTTCCCCCAGATTAGAGTCCGCACGCTTAACCACTACTCCAAACTGGCTCCCCAACATGGCACCCCATGTCTGTTTTGTCCTCAAACAACCCTATGAGGTAGATCAGGCTGAGGGAGTAGGATCAATCCAAGGCCAGTCAGGGAGCTGCATGGCTGAGCAGGATCTGAACCCGGGCCCCTCCGGCTCCCACCTGACACACACTCTCCCCTGCACCGCAGTGTCTCTGTGTTCTGCTGAGGTTCTACCATGAGCCACAGGAGATGTTTCCTACCTGGCGGCTTTGACGGCCATCGCTGCTTATGCCAAGGAGCCATGTTGATTCAGGGTTGACCCCCGAATCAGTGACTTTTGAATCATGCAGAGGGAATCCCTGACCTAATTAGCCAGCCCTGTAATGGGCACTCATGCCAGCAGAAAGAGGAGAGACTAACGCCTGGTCCTCTCTGACTGTAACAAAAGCCCCTTTTCTTCACCCAAAGAGTGATTAACGCATGGAATTCACTGCCACAGGAGGTGGGGGCGGCTACAAGCATGGACGGCTTCAAGAGGGAACTGGATAAACATGTGGAGCAGAGGCCCATCAGTGGCTATTAGCCACAAGGTATAGATAGGAACTCTCATCAGTCTGGGGCAAGGGATGCTCTGTATTCTTGGTGCTTTGGGGGGGGGCAACAGTGAGAGGGCTTCTGGTGTCCTGGCCCCACTGCTGGACCTCCTGATGGCACCTGGTATTTCTGGCCACTGTGTGACAGAGTGTTGGACTGGATGGGCCATTGGCCTGATCCAACATTGGCTTCTCTTATGTTCTTAATTCTCAGTCTGGGGCAAGGGATGCTCTGTATTCTTTGTGCTTGGGGGGGGGGGGCAACAGTGGGAGGGCTTCTAGTGTCCCAGCCCCACTGCTGGACCTCCTGATGGCATCTGGTATTTTTGGCCACTGTGTGACAGAGTGTTGGACTGGATGGGCCATTGGCCTGATCCAACATTGGCTGTTCTTATGTTCTATGGACTGCGCTCCAGAACTGGGGTCAGGCTGAGGTTCCAGAGAAATCATGCTGCCTAAGGAGAGGCTGCCTACAAATCAGAGGGTCCCTGGTTGAAACATCCTCTCTACCACGCGCCTGCAAGGTAGCCCCAGGCAAGCCACTCCCTCTCAACCTCCATATGGAGTTCATCATACTGACGTAATGTACAGGACTACAGCAAGGTAACGCGTGCAAAGCACTCCGAACCTTCGAAAGCACTATATAAATACTAATGATCACACTCGGAGAGCAGTTCAGAAACATGGGGCAGGAGAGAGGCTGTGGCTCAGTGGCAGAGCATCTGCTTGGCACGCAGAAGGTCCCTGGTTTGATCCCTGGCATTTCCAGTGAAAAGGATCTGATACCAGGTGATATGAAAGGCTTCCTCTGCCTGAGACCCTGGAGAGCGGCTGCCAGTCTGAGTAGACAATACTGACCTTGAGGGACTGGTGGTCTGATTCAGTGTAAGGCAGCTTCAGGTGTGTTCAACTGTTCATATGACTGGCTGTCAAGGGGAAGTACATGCCTCCTTTTCTAAACCCGGCTCATGAGTCACTTCAAGATGCAACACCCTATGTAATATCTCACGCACTTCAGAAGCCAAGCTGATGAGATCTGAACTAATTTTTCGCTTAAGCTTTAATGGGGAAGTATTACACTCTTCCAACAGGCCTGCGCGGGTCTTGCAATGTACCCAGAGCCGTGCTGTCGGCACAGAACTGATTCCAAAACAGCAAGATGTGCAACGGGAACATGCCACAGCATTGTGCGCTCTCTCCACGGAGTTCACAGCAAGGCGAGGAAGACGAAACACACTTTTATTATGTAAAGGGAGGGGGGGAGAGAATGAATAGGAACCCATGTTCACAGAGTTGCAAAAAGCAGGCCGCTCCGTGTAATCCTTTCTTCAGCCCTGGCTCTTTTATCCTCCACCGTTTGGTTTACAGTGAGAAAAACAAGCTGTCCCTTTATTGCAACACCTTTTGGTACAATGGCTCCCTGCCCAGAAAGAGGTCTAGCAAAAGGAACTCGGCATGGTCTTCATGAGAATGCTCTCCACAGAAAAGAAGAACAGACTGAAGAGAAGAAGAGGAGCTTGGATTTATACCCCGCCCTTCACTCGGAGTCTCAGAGCAGCTTACAATCCCCTTCCCCTTCCCCTCCCCACAACAGACAGCCTATGAGGTAGGTGGGGCTGAGAGAGCTCTCTCGAGAACTGCCCTTAAGAGAACAGCTCTGAAAGAACTTGTGACTGATCCAAGGTCACTCCAGCGGCTGCATGTGGAGGAGTGGGGAATCCAACTCGGTTCTCCCAGATTAGAGTCTTAACCACTGCAGCAAACTGACTCCCACACGGTTGGTGCTGCATTTTCACCCCAACTGCACAGGTTTGCTAACCGGGACCAAGCTGCCCCCCACCCCCAAGACTTTCCAAAAAGTGCACTTATGCAAGCAACAAGAGCCTGCCCCAGCAACTGATGCGACCTCACATACTGGCACAGGGCCCTCTCCACGTGCTCCATGAGAATGTTTCTGTGGCCCAGGTGGCCCAAGGTTGTGCATCTGAAAACACACCATGATTTCCCGCCACTGAAAACCGGCTCTAACTTTAAAACTTAAAGGGGAGGGGAGAATATTTGTATAACGAGAGCTATGATGAGCTAGGCAAGGCCAATCCAAGTACAACAGCGGGGAAACTAGTTCCACTTCTCGGTCAATTCTACCCTGTAGGAGCCACTGATGTCAAAAAAATTTAAAAACCGCTTCTGTGCCTCCTTCCCTGGCCCCCGGGGTGCTCAAGACTTCCAAAAGCTCTGGCCCGCTGCCAGCTCAGCTCTCCTGATTCCATAACAACCAATTCCCGAGGAGCCGTGTGTGCCCCCAGACCACCAAGGGGAAAGAATGCTTTTACAAAGGGCTCATTGGGCGATTTTAACTCATCTATGCCTTAGAATTCCTGCCAACCTAGCAGTTCGAAAGCAAGAAATTGCAAGTAGATAAATAGGTACCACTTTGGTGGGAAGGTAACAGCGTTCCGTGCGCCTTGGTGTTTAGTCATGCCGGCCACATGACCACGGAAACGTCTTCGGACAGCGCTGGCTCTTCGGCTTTGAAACGGAGATGAGCACCGCAACCCTAGAGTCGGACTCGACTGGCTTTCGAGCAAGGGAACCAACTGTTCATCTGATCGAGTGGGATCCGGCTCACAAAAGCATGTGCTGCAATACATTTGTTAGCCATTACGGGTGCCACAAGACTTCAGTCCACCTCTCTCCAGTCCACCTCAGAGCCAGCGTGATGCAGTGGCTAAGAGCAATGGACGCTAATCTGGAGAACTGGGTTTGATTCCCCTCTCCCCCCCCCTCATGAAGCCTGCTGGGTGACCCTGGGCCAGTAACACTTCTCTCCGAACTCTCTCAACCCCGCCTGCCTCACAAGCAGTGTTCCCTCTAAGCTGAGCTAGTGTGTGCTAGCTCACAGTTTTTTAGCCTCCGGCTTACACATTTTTGTCTCAGCTCAGGAAGGAGGGCTCCAGAGCAGACTAATTTGTGCAGCAGCCAAATAATTCGCTCACAACTTTAACGCCAGTAGTTCACAAAGTAGAATTTTTGCTCACAAGACTCCATAGCTTAGAGGGAGCACTGCTCACAAGGTGACTGTTGTGGGGAGAGGAAGGGAAGGCGATCATAAGCCGTTCTGAGACTCCTTAAGGCAGAGAAAAGTGAGATATATATTTAAAAAA